CGTCCGGGGGCGGGGCCGGGAGCCCGCCCCTTGCGCACCACCCTGGGAGCATGCGTGGTGTGCTGGCGCCCCCCCGTGGCACGGAGTATCCGGGCTCCCCCAATTTCCTGTCGAGGCTGGTAGTCTCTCTCTGACTATCCGGCTCTCAGCATCCTGGGACGCAGCCCAGCTGGGCCCCAAATCACAGTCTCATCCATCCCGACATGTGCTTGTTTGGTCTTTTGCTATTACTGTAGCAGTAGAAGCTCTTCTTGTTGCTCTTGACATCCTGTCCGTTTTCAATTGTGGGTGAGCTTTTATTCTCCTAAGTCAACCCCTACATGCCTGAGCAATGTTTCTAGATTCCTTGTTTGCAGCCTATCCCTGATTTTACCTCCTGTCTTGCACTGGAATGCTGTTGTAAGGTCCTTGTTTAGCCAAGCCAGTCTTCTGAGGTCTAGGCATCAAATACACATGAAATCAGGAATCTTAGTCATTCACTCTAGTTTTTTTCCTGATCTTTTTCTGCTTATGGTTTTATTCCTTCTCATTAGATGTCTTCCAAGAAAATTTGTTGCTCTTTCAGCGTGCCAGTACAAAGAGAAAGGAATTAAAACACCCTCCTCTCTTGACAAGCTGCTTTATGTAATGATTTATGTTTTCATTCTGCTGGTAGTGTTCATGAGCAACAATGGAATAGTTGATGGCTTCCAGACTTCCCCAAACTTAGGAAAGAACTATATGGTCATATATTGATATTAAAGTGGAAAAAAAATAATATATTAAAGAGTGAAAAAAACTACCCTTGAAAATGGAAGTTTGAATTTTCTATTTTGTGATTTATACAAATGAACAAAAGAATTAGACTGGTTAAGGATAAGAAAAGCTGTCCTTTGTTGCCAAGTAGTCATATAAAGTATTAATCAGAGAAATTACTGACAGGCCAGAAACATGTGAAGTAGCCAAACAAGGCAGATTCATTAAAATCTTCCCAGCACTGGCAGAACTTGTGCAGATGATACTAGCTGTGGTGTTTTATAAGCTCAGAATTTTATTAGCCTTGATCCTATTTCTGCATAGGCTTTGCATATTTTAGAGCAGCCATGTTTTAAGAAAACATCACCATACTAGTGTGGCATGTTGAAACAGATCAGAAAAGTCAGATGAGTAGAACATCTCTCTGAAAATAAGCCAGGATAGTCTTGTAAGAGATGATTGAACAGCATGTTTGACGCCTGACTGTACTGGGTCAGCAGAGATTTAATAGGATAAAACTAAATGGACTATTATTAGTGACTCAAATACAATTTTTTTTAATACATCGGTCTCATTCAAGTACATTTTTCTCAACATTTTAAGTCTGACATGACTAAATTTTACTTGATGTGGTTTAACTGACTTAGTATAATTGTTTTCTCCTGAAAGGTGTTTGACACAGCTCATACACAGCTGTATTGGATAAGTAAGTTAATCTCTGGATAAGAAATATTTCATCTGAATACAGCATGCAATGAATAGGAACTAGAGTGTGCTTTCAATATAGCAGGTTCACGAATAAATAGTTACTCTTACAAGGTTTGTTACTTTCATCAATGTTGTCTATTGCTGAACACTAAACATATTCTGCTGTCACCCTCAATTTAACTTTTCTGAAAGTATGTATTTTCTCCTAAGCCATTTGTCACACTTACTCAAATGCTAAGATTTAAAATTACATAACTAGAAGCCATTCTACCTCATTAATTATTTGAGAGGATGTTTCTATATATCCCTGGTTTTATACTTTCTCCTAGCAAAATGGAAGTACAAGTAGCGATTGTTTCTGCTGCCAACAGGTCTTTGATGTTTAAGATTATTCCCTTACTATGCATCCCAAAAGTTCCACTCCCAGGCTTGTGTTCCTCCAGGTTATTTGAAGGCAGATCTCAAAATCCCAGGTCTCTACAAGTGTACTTCTTGCAACAAAGCTAGCGCAAAGAATACGCAGAAATTAAACCAGGACTAAGAAGTCCCTTTCAAAAGAGATCTCAGAAGAGAATCTCCTCACTAGACCTGGAGTTCAAGCACTAGTTTTCCTCAGATTCTGTGCCTCTGCAATCCCAATGTAAGCCTCTAGCTATAATCTAATTAACTGACACAGAGATAGGTGCTCACAGCGCAGATTACTCACTCAAAGACTACTTCAACAGAAGAACAGAGGCACTTGTCTTCATGACACAAGTGGCAGTTTTCTTGCTAAAATCCTTTGTCTGCCATCAGTTCTACAGGCTAAACAGATGACATGAGCACAGCCTCGGGTACCTTTTTTTCATCCAACAGTTCGTCTGTCATATCTCTTTTTATTCTTATTCAGAAGTATGTGAACTTTTTTAGGCATATGTGACTGAGGGGAGATGCAGAAAAACCCAATTTACGTTGGAAATTTAGACTCTTGAGGAAGGAAAGCCAAGGTAAGGATATGTACTACTAAAAGTTATATATATACACAACAGATTTGGGGGTTGCTAGCATTAATTTCAATTTTATATTAAGACTAGACTCCTTTCTAGCATTTCCCCAGAGGAAATGTTTTGTCAATTTATAGTGCGTTAAAATAAACACAAGGAAAGAAACAGGTTCACAATATAAAATCTCCAGTAGTAACTCCAGTTTTGTTGGTATATTTTTTTTACCAAATCCTCTATAGGGTATACAAAAACAGCAGAGTAAGTAAGACCCTTGAAGTCTCAGTTCAGGAAGAAAACAGTCTTGCCTGGAGTACATTTCATCTGCTTTAACATCATCATTTAAACAGTCTGCATTAAGAACCAAAAAGCCAGAGTAATACAGAATCAAATAGTTGGGACATTGAAACAATCTTTTTTTCTTAGGTGATATTCAGTAATAAACACTTATAAAAACACATTTCTCATAATTAACAGTTTTTAATATATGGACTGGTGCTATAAGTAGTCTAAACCAGAGGTTCTTCATTGAGCAATCTTTGCTGGGCTTTTTATGCCACTGATAAAAATCTGTAGAGAGGCATAAAATTCATGACCAGCAAATATCCCCATGGATAAACCTCTTTACAGCAGCCATTTTTCTTACAACACTATTACACCATCATCAATAGGTTGTTGCTCAAGCGTACAATTTACTACCAGAGGAAGTGTCTCAGGAAACTGGTGACATGTTTGTGTTCTGGTTCCCGATTGTCTGCAAAGATGACCAAGGGAACTGGAATGGTTTCAGGTAGGTAGTTGATGGCAATGTTAGTCAACTGATTGGTGTACTCATTCCTCCGCTTAGTGTGCTTCACTTCTTGTAACTTGCACAAACAAGTCATTATTTTCCTGTTGCAGAATAATTAGTACTGCTGCACATTCAGATTTATTTTGTTTTACATTTAATTATTGTTACATATACCAAGGCTTTCAGTTCAAGGACATACAAGGTCTTAATTTATAGAATTATAATTTATGTTTTTATAAGTTACATCATGGCTATGCACTTAAGCCACATCTACACTACAAACTTTGGCCAACAATCAGGGGAACTAGATGTGATCCTCATCAGTACCACACTGCACACAGACTGCCAGAAATGCCATTATACTGGGGGTAACAAAACCCCAAATCCCTCCTTTGTGCAGAAACACCCAGTTTTGCTGGTTTGAGCTACATCCACACCAGGACACAGGAATACTCTGCCAGTATCACAGGATAGCACAGTTACACGGGCAGTGCTCTTGGGGTTCCTGCAGCTTCAATCCAACATCTGTTTCCTTCCTTTTTTTTTTTTCCTCTCCTTCCTTTCAGCTGTAGTGGTTGCACAGCTCCTTAATATTTTTTTTCCATCTTCAAAGCAGCATACCACACATTTTCACAAAAGGAAGTATTCAAAATGGTAATTTAAAAAAAGTTTATTACATCAGTGAATCAGCAAATAGTGTTTATTTCAAACAAAGCCACATTTTCTTTTTTCCTTTCATCTAGATTTAGCTGTACTCAATAGTAGTACAAATGGGACTATAAAACGCAGAATGGAGATGAAATGAAAAAGCTGAGATGCAATCTGAGGACTATTCAAATATCATGTACTTTCAGCTCTTCTACCCTAACTGCAGCCAATTTGTGTAATTTATGCCTTACATTTTCATTTGTTATAGAATGCAAATATTTTATATCCAAATAAGAACCTCCTACAGGTTAGCAATCTCTTCAATTGTATACTGTAGGTTCTGCTAATAAACTCAAAATAATTTAGCCTCCCTTTACAGACACGGTGACATAAACTGGATTTATGGAAATGGTAATTAAATGTACTAGATGGGATGAGTAATGGAAATGCTCAGACTTTCTATCTACTGGTATTTCAACCCACCACATAATTTTTCAGTTTAATAATAAATACTCAGTCCAGCCTCACGATAATGAAATTTTAGAATCCCTCATTAAGTTTGCTCAAAAGTGGAAAAATTGTCCTGGAGCATCATGTTGTCTTGAGATGCATTTCAATGCTTTTTTTTTTTTTTTT